ATGACAGTTATACCCTTATAGCTATATTATATTTCTTAAAATTAGAAAATAACTTTTTGAATTTGTATGATTTTCTTTTCAATATGAGTCAAAAATTTCTTCTAAAATAAGTATAACATCTTCCTATAAATAGGAAAATCCTGATAAATATGTACAATATATTCATAGAATGTTGGAAAATCCTGACAAATATGTAAAATAAATGACAGTTATACCCTTATAGCTATATTATATTTCTTAAAATTAGAAAATAACTTTTTGAATTTGTATGATTTTTTTTTCAATATGAGTCAAAAATTTCTTCTAAAATAAGTATAACATCTTCTTATAAATAGGAAAATCCTGATAAATATGTACAATATATTCATAGAATCTTGGACAACTTTCATCTATGAAAAGTAATTAATTTTTATTTGTGAAAGTAATTTGAGTTCTTTGTTTAATTATTAAAATCTAAGGTTTAAATTTGGATTATCGGGTTAATGCAGAAATTAAAAATGCGTTAGCATTTTAGAATATGTATATGTATATATATATATATATATATATATATATATATATATATATATCAGTAACCTGTAACCCTACTTCACGTAATAATATTCATATACTAGGGGTTGGCCCGCCCTACGGGCGGGTATATTAACAAAAAAATTAATTTTAATAAAATATATTTTAATTTTAGAACATTGAAAAAATACTTAAACTAAAAATAATAAGCAGATTTTTATAAACTCCAAAGATTATGTAGTAGTTTTTTTATTAATTTTTGTTGGTTTCAGTTAAAAGAATCACAAAATTTTAATGAATACAAAATTATTTATAAAATTAAAAAAAAAATAATTTATATTTTCTTCTTCTAATTTTTATTCCATCTTGATATAGTTGAAAAAATCTAAAATAAAAATAACTGGCACATTTTTTAAGAGTTTCAAATTTTAGTATTATTAGTGATATTTCGGCGCGCTTTTTTATTCTTTAATGAATTCAAAATTGCTTTTACGATCAATTTGATAGTGGTCAATGATATTAGGATATTATTTTGTTTTCAAGTTGCTTAGGTTAAAGAAGAACCCTTCATCGGTTGGATCCCTCTAGACGTGGTTGATTGTATATCACAATAAGTGATACGAGTTTGATTTTCTTAAACTTTGAATTTTTTACTCTAGAATGGTGCTGAGATTTCTTTTTGATTTAGTATTAATTATCTCATGCTTTTGACATATGTAATGAACAGTGTGAATTGTTCCTAGAATAGGTGTGAAGACGTTGATTGTGTGAAATTTAGCAATCGTTTGGTCCAATTATTTGTTTGGAAGGCCATTGCATTATATGTGAAAAGTTGGGTTTTGAGTTTTGAATTTACTAAAGCAAAGGGAATTCTTAAGAACCATTGTTAGTTTTAAGGTTGGCTTAATTAAATCCAACAAAATGCCTAAGACTCGTAAAATGTTAGTCACATATTGGTTTCAAGGCTCAATGATTATAAGGACGAGTCATATCTTTTAAGATAAAGCTCTTTTAAGATAAAGCCTCTTCACTTTAAGCATTTAAAGTCAATGCATATATTATTGTAATTAGTTGCAGAACACCATAGATAATTGACAATTTAAAAAAAGTTGGGAAGATATAATAAATATTTGGAGTATTTCCACTCGAATAAACAATGATTTTTTTGTAACACAAGTAAACATTTGGCCCATTAAAAGAAATCAACCATCATATATGCACACAGTCACTTTCTTGCTCATGTCAATGGCATTACCACCCCCTGAAGCTGTTATACAAATCACAAAAAGAGTTTTTTCTTAATGATCTAATGATGTATACCAAACCAAACCCGATAAGTTTCTGATTAACTGTAACTTCTTTTCACGGTATACCTTAGTGTGCGCGAAGGAGGGTTTGGTTGTTGCAGAGTCAGATTTCCAAACAGCTGAGATGCCAACCTCTTCTGTCTCCAGCATTAATCTTCTACTCTCCCTCATTATGTCGCTTGATTGGTCAAGTCTCTCCATTGACATTCCAAATATGCCACTCTGATCAGCTGATACCTGGAAGGACAACACTAATGTAACATCTCTGGCATCTAAGATAGGTTTAGACAAAGATGAAGAGCAAGAACACTTAGACACAAACGCTAAGATGGTGCGAGCTAACTCAAGACAGCTAACAATGTGATTTCTAGATTTTCTCTACGCATGCACATCCGCCTTTCGGGGTTCCATCAGTTCGTCACGTGTAGATTGGTTACAATCTGGCGAAGACACTCGTTTAAAATACACACAATATTAGCACTCGGCTGCAAACTTTCTTGCCTCAAGATAGAAAAAAAAAACAGAAGCTATGTATGAGAAAATAACAATAAAAAAAATTTCAATAAATAACAATAGAGAACATTGCTCATCAATATCCACCATCTTCTTCTCATCTCTCACCTGAACAAATAGCTCTATATCCCTATAACCTTGTGTCCGAGGCAAGAAACTGCCATAAGATATCTGCACACAAACTGAGAGATGGTCACAGAGAAAAGCTTTGTAATAAATAACTAATAATAATACCTTCATGGTTTTGACATTTAACTTAACATCAAAGTCTTTCAAGGTTCTTAGTACATCATAGAGAAGACCTCTGTGATCAACGTAACGTATTTGAAGTAATGTGTGAGACGGGCTGAAGGAGTTGTCAACTGTGACAACAGAGGAATTCTAAAGCTACACGTAAAGTTTCAATTTAGAGAATTCTTCAAAATTTATGAGCTTCTTAACCTAAAAATCTGGGTATAGCAAATACAGACAAAAAAAGCAACAATCATGGTAGTAAATTCACTGAAATAAAATTTAGATGCACTTGTCGAAAAAGAGTTCCAAATCAGACATTATACCCAATTTTTATTCAATTATAGATTGAACGTCTAGAAAAATTATGTTATAAATATAAATCTAAAAGTAAATGTTAACAAAATCTTTTGATTGCGGAATACAAATCTGATTATTATTTTTTATTAGATTGTTACCTATTATACGAAGTTTCTGTTTGAGTGAAGTTCATAAAGTTGAAAAGGTATATATGCACAATCTAAACCAGAAAAGAGAGACTATAAACTTACCAAACAAGGTACTTTCATGTTAGGATCAAGTTTGATAGCAGCTCCAACAGACTTGAAATTCACAGTTCTCATCTTCTCTTTCAGAATTTAAAGATCTTCTCCTCGTTTTAGGCTTACATGAACTCTCTCCTTCCACAATCCGCTGAACAAATCAAGAGATTCAGTTCTCTACTTCCAAAAAGCTAACCCAAAAACTACTAATTTTAAAAAATCTTACATCGTTGCACTGACATTTATCATGAATTCTCTTGAGATCAAGTTGGCTTTTGTATAAACATTACCTGCAACAAAAAAGAGTCAAACTTTAAAACTAAGATCATGAAGTTATCCAACAAAAACAAATTATTATTTTATAAGACTTATTATCGATTAAAAAGTTATCTGAATATTAACTTTGATAAAAGAACGATTTAGTCAACCTGATAAAGCCTTCCTATTGAAACCAAGAAATAACTATTAAATGTCTAATGATGTTCTTTTACCATTAACCATGAATTCCAGTTAACTAAAGCAACGATATCCACAATCCAAAGGGCTATTGTTTGTCGGATCAACCTGTCTCATTCACAACAACAAAAATTCTCCTTCTATCACCCAGAAAAAACATCAAAGAATGAAGCTTTACGGGAAGGAAAGAAGAGTGACTCACGACAGTAGCTATTCGCTTCTTAGAAGCCATAAGAACTCTACCAGTTTCATCAATCATAAACCCAGCAGGTGGGTTGGGTATGGTAGGAGGATATTTTGCAAGAGAACCACCACCACCATCATCATAATCTTCCTCCTCTAGAACGCATCTCTCACAGCATCTTTTGTTCCTCGCTAAACCTGTCGAATCGCAGCAATGGATGCTTGCATCATCGTAGCCTAGTTGGTAATTTTTTTTAAAAAAAAACAGTAAATGTAAACCAATAAATCACACAAATAAAAATATTTGAGAACAGGAAAAAAATATTTCAAATCTTCGATAAAGGAAACAAATCATTCACGCAATAAATCTTCGATAAAGGAAACAAATCATTCACGAAATAAAACACAGATTACTGTCGATATATAATCTCAATAAAACATTGTCTAAACCTTTCACAGATCTACACAAACAGAAACCATTGTAAGAGGGGGAAATCTATAGAGAAATTAGAGGTTTTCGTGTCCTTACATTCTCATCAATAAACAACATGTCAATGCTCATCAGTTCGCCGGACCGGCTGCTGTTCCGGCTGGTGTTTCAAGCCTCCCGAAAACGAAGAAGTCGAACCTCCGCCGTGTTCGAGCACCGGCCGTCCTTCAACTCAGCAAGGAGTGTGTAGGAGTTTGACATCGCAGAATTCGTTTGATTGTTCTTTTCTTGGAGAGCGTCTGGGATGAGATCGACATCTTTCGATGCAGAGTTATTTATACTCAACCTATGGGCGTGGAAGTGGAAGAGATGAAAATAATGGCCGTAACTGTGGTCAAGGTTCCTAAGGTGGGAGTAAAGAACTCATTTATGGTAGAAGGCAGCGGTTACGAATGTGTAGATGACGTTCCCGGCGCGATACAGATGAGGAAATGGCTCGCAAAGGAAGAGAGCAGAGACACGAAAACCTAAAAAAAAGGACTCTACGACAACGAAAGCAAACCCACGGAAGCCTTAAAAATTTGGGCTTATACAACACCCTAAAACGAAGCCCATCACCAAACAACAAACCAAAACCTAGAAAAATAAACCAAATTAAACCAACACACGATTGAACAAATTGGGCCGGTATAATTTAAGTTCATGAGTGCTGATGTGTCTTTTTTTGTCCCCCTTCTAAAAGCTGATGTGGATACCCTAAGAAGGGACAAAAGCCAACTTTATTGTATTAGATACTTGGCCTTTGTAGTTACAGTCTGGCCGTAAAATATGGACCTGCAAAAATCAGTAAGGAAGCAAAACGGCATCATTTGGAAGCTGTCTAACCACGTCATCAATACCACCGCCGGGAAGACCTCGAACCTCGTGTTTTCGCCGGCGTTGATCAATGTTATCCTTAGTTTCATAGCCGCTTATAAGTCTCCCGGAACCACCGAAGAACAGATTCTCTCTTTACTAAAGTCTTCTTCCACCGATGAGCTTAATGCCGTGTCCTCCCATATAGTGACCACCGTCCTCGCCGACAGCGCCGCAACTGGCGGGCCAATGATCTCGACTGCGAACGGCTTCTGGATGGACAAGACTCTCTGTGTGAAACAGTCTCTCAAAGACCTCTTGGAGACTTCGTATAAGGCTGCTTTCAACCAAGTTGACTTTCGCACGAAGGTATATATATACATTTCTAGATAGCCTATCTTTCTTCAGACAAATGTTGAAAGTTTTTTTTTCTGTCTTAAAAAGGCTGACGAAGTGTCTGAAGATTTAATTAAGTTTAGCTTCAGTCCCCAAAATTAATGTTATCTACAATATACATAAATCCAAATTATGATTTTTAATTAAAGTTTTTATTAAATGTTTATGGTCCAAAAATTGTTCAATCCGGCCTGATGTTTGATGTTGATATAGCTTTGTGTGTGTTTTCTTTGGTTTTGTCTTAAAAAGGCTGATGAGGTGTCTGAAGAGGTGAATGCATGGGTTGAAAAACAGACAAATGGGCTCATCACTGATCTTCTTCCACCAAAGTCTGTAACTTCTTTGACTGATTACATATTTGCTAATGCTTTGTTCTTCTACGGGAGATGGGATAACGAGTTTGATCCATCTCTTACCAAAGACTCAGACTTCCACCTACTTGATGGAACCAAATTACGAGTGCCCTTCATGTCGGGGGACTTCTTCACTTACCATCTCGATGTCTACCCAGGTTTCAAAGTCCTCAACCTACCTTACAGACAAGGAAGTGATTGGGAAGAAGACGGTCGTTCTTTCTCGATGCAAATCTATCTCCCTGATGAAAAAGATGGGTTGCAAGCAATGCTGGAGACGTTAGCTTCTACTCCTGACATTCCTAGCCACTGGGCAGATATCGGAGAACTCAAGATTCCAAGGTTTAAATTTGGTTTTCACTTTGAAGCCACGGAAACTCTGAAAAGTTTGGGGTTGAGTCTACCATTGGAGAGGATCTTCCACAAGTCTTGCATCGAGGTTGATGAAGTGGGAACCAAAGCTGAAGCAGCTGCTGCTGTAGTTTGTGAAGGTTGTTGTGTTCCTGCGGAGAAGAAGTATGACTTCGTGGCTGATCATCCTTTTCTCTTCCTTGTCAAAGAACGCGGAAGTGGAGTGGTTCTGTTTCTTGGTCAAGTTCTTGATCCTTCTATGCATTAGTTTGTGTCTAAAGACACAATGTTTTAATGCCTTTTCAACAATGGAGCATTTCAAATAATAACTTTACCTAGTCCTCGGATTACATTTTGTCTTTTTCATAATATTATGTCTGTTTTTTTTTTTCTTTTGACGTTTAATCAAATCTTCAATTGGTGACTATATTTTAGAAATAACAATGAAATGCATTGTTTTGAAAAAATTTATTGGTCCAATTAAAATATATTTATTAGATTAGTCATGTAAGTCTCATTTTATTCTTATAATTTGATGTATGGAATTATTTATGATTAGTGTATATCTTGGAGATAACATTTTTAACATTCGTGATTAATTAGTGTATACTTGGAGTTCACTTCACATAATTATTGTCGCCTCAAAACAAACAATACGAGCTAAGAGCATCACCGTTAGTAAACCTGGGTGTGGATCGCCAAGTGGTATTTTCAATTTTATTTTATTTTTTTTCTGTTTATTTTTTTTTAATTAATAATTGGATCATAAGTGGGTCGCCACGTGTCGTGAAGTCCACGGTACAGTGATGAACCGAATTCACTTCGGGGAGCTTACTAGGGACAAGTTCAACATTATTTTAGTTTTTTTTCTTGAAAAACGTGTGAACCCCTGTCTAAATCTTTGATGGAGGTGCTCTAATCACTAAGGGCGAGCCGAATGCTCTTTTTCAGCTGGATGAACTGTCACTTACCTGGATGAGCTGAGCTGGAAAGACACTTACGAGTCTAAGCACATTTGGTTGGCTGTTTCCTTGGTGAATTTGGTCAAGACCAATACTTTCTCCATTTCAGTTTACATGTCGTTGTAGAGAAAATTTTCTGGTTCAAAATAAGTATCATTTTATAATTCTGATTCAGAATTTATTAACTTTATATATTTTTCTATTTTTCCATTGGTTGAAAGGTGGTTAGGTGTATAGGTTATTGTGTTTTTATTTTGAAGATAGGTAAAAACCTAAAATGATAACTAAATTGAAACGAAGAGAGTACTATATATACTATTCTAGTTATCAGATATAGATACAGTAGAACATCTATAAATTAACACTCGATAACTTAATAATCTTTATAAATTATTAAATTTCACTGATCCTAATTTGGACATGTTCAAAACTTATCACAAATCGATAAAATAATAAAATAATATTTTTGTACAAAATTCTATGTAAATATATGGTCCATTAAAATTATAAATTAATAATATATATGCATACATATTTTCATAAATAAGAACCTATCATTATATTATTTGGCTTATATTCACAATTAACACTTAGAGTCTGACTGGTTACAACGCAGCGATTGCGGTTGCGGGCGTATGCGGATGCGGAAGATTGCGGTTTTAAGCATTAGTAAGAGATTTAAACGACTGAGTCAACGGATAAAATTTGCTGCGTTTACAGTATATTTATGACTGGTTTATTACCCAATACAGCACTGGTTAAATAATAAGTTAACAATATTTATATTTTATATAATTATCAAAATATTAAAATCATATTTTTTATAATAAATATAAAAATTTTATTGATAAAATTACTATTAATTTTTTTTTTTTAAAAGAAAGAAATTATTTTTTGGAAATTTTACTATATAAATACTTTGGTATTTCAATTAATTTAATTTAAAGTTTTCCTTGAATATTTTACTTTTTTGTTTTTATAGTTTTCTGGAAAAAAAATCTTTTTTTATCCTCCCGCAACCGCAAACCCTAGCTGGAACCAGCTTTTGAATTTTAGAGATTCAAAGCGATTTGAAGCGGTTTATAGCGTTTTCTGTGATTGTTTCAAACGCCAACAACCGCTACCAACCGCAAAAGCTGAGTTTGCGGGTGATAGCGGAAGAACCAGTCAAGTCCTTAATATATTTTGATGAAATTTAGTGATAGTATATCTAAAACCACATTTAAATTATATGAAATTCATATTATATACACCAAATAATATAATACATTAATATAAATTTCAAATTTCAAAAATAATAATTAATTTCTTTACACTAAAATTAAATATTTTTCTTATTTTTGTATAAATCTATTTTTAAAATAAAAAATCTAAATAAGAAAACTTTTATAAATTAATATCTCTCTAAATTAATAAAATTTCAAAGAAAAAATGCTAATATTATATTATTCTTGTTATTAGATAGTATAGTATAAGTCTATTTGTTGGAGAAAGGATATCAAGAGCCAGTCAAGAACACATTCAATGAGAGATATCAAGAATCAGTCAAGAACACATTCAAGGAGGAATATCAAGATATCAAGAATCAGTCTTTAGTCAAAACAAATTTATCTTAGTCTTTGTTTTCGTTTTCTAGGAAAAATAAGTGTTATTTTCATTCCCTAAACACTTCACAAGTATTAGAAGTCCTACGTATGGACAAACCTAGATTATATTTCCCCTATATAATGAGGCTATTATGCATGAATAAAGATCATCCAAATTTTTATCAAAACCTTTCTTGTTTCTTCGAGGGTACTTCTCAATATGTTCTTTGTGAACAATTGACCTTGCTGTGAAGCTGAAGCCACGGTTCTAAGGGAGTTTGATCAAGAATCTACCACCTTGTTTCGTGTTTGATCGTGTAGAGAAATTGGGAATTAGGTTTATGGTACGATCTTGAGCAGTTTCAAACTCAAGGTCTGGGATTCATGGTATGAGATAGCCAAAACACTAATCAAAGTTTGGTTGAATGGGCAGTTTCAAGTACTCACTAGTATGATCTATGAAGTATTAGACAGAGAGAAGGATGAGCTTCAACAATCAGATGGGCGTACTAGCTTGATGGAGGACGCATTAGCTTCTCAACTGGACCAGCCACAATATCAATGGCCAAACACAGAGGCATGCTATTCTACACTTAGCTTTTGGCGTGGAAAAGAGAAGAGGAGATAACCAGAAAGGAAAAGAAGTTAAACCATTGGTTTAATCTCTGATTTTTTAAGTAATGTTTTTACTGTGTACCAAGGGCAGATTCGTTTTGGATTAAACCAGGGTAAACTAAACCCAATTAGAATTAAAATTAGAGTAAGCTAATTTGGTTAAGGATTAGGGAATTTGGCGTTTTCTTTTATTTACTTTTTACGCATCACACTGCATAAATCAATCAACGTTTTTATCATCTTCTTTGTTTTGAGTTTTCTCAATTATGTTGGTGTGTAATATCCAGCCTTGGGTTCTCTGATTTGGTGTGTAATATCCAGACCAGAAGCCTTGGAGTATCAGGAGTCGAGCCATCCCTCTTGTGTCCCACATCAATCCACAAGCCTTGAAACAGATTGAGTCTTTGATTCTCTGTTTACAAAGATTATCAAAGCGTTTACCCACCTACAAGAGATCCTGGGAATTACAGCCTATCCAGGGCTCTACCAGGTGGTATCAGAGCCTCTTGAAGGTTAGGATAAGAGATCTTAATCTGGTTTCATCAACTGCACACGATTTTTGTCTCTTTGGTAGCTGATCTACCACCACATAGTTTGGAAGAGGAGAAGAATGACAGAGAAGTGAAACTACCACCAGTAAGAAACTACGAGACTTGGAATTTTTTCTATGATGTATCCTGATGTTTTTGCTGGGGGATATGTCCACGATATCGTCCAGAAGCTTTCATGGCGTGGGCTAATAACCTAGATAGCTTCTTTGAGCAGAATCCAGTAGACTCATGGGAAAGCCTATCCTTTGTTGTTAGCTTGCTGAGAGGTGAGTCTAGAGCATGGTGGAGAGTAGAGGAAGAAGCTCGTTGGTCTGATGAAGAACCAATATACACTTGGGATGAGCTTAAAATTATCATGAGTTTTAAGTATGTGCATGGTTTCAAATGGGATGAGGAAGATGTGGGAACCGAAATCCACACTGTCGATTTTCCGTCAAAAATGGAAACTTAGGATGAAACCCTAATTTTCCCGAGGTCCTGGATCTCTGCGGAAATCACTAAAACAAACGAATTTAAAAGAATATGGATAATCAATGAAGAACAGAGAATAAAGAACTTGTATGAAAGCTTTTATTAAATAAAGAATCGACAACTGTTATAAGAAGAATTGAAGAACTTAGAGGTCGAAACGTTCTAAGGATCTGGATTGCTATTCTAACGCTAAGTCCTAAATTCCTAAGCTAACAGCCGTCTTTTTAGGTCTGAATTTTGTCCCCCTTCTCTTCCCTATGCCTCTGGCTTATACACTNAACTGTTATAAGAAGAATTGAAGAACTTAGAGGTCGAAACGTTCTAAGGATCTGGATTGCTATTCTAACGCTAAGTCCTAAATTCCTAAGCTAACAGCCGTCTTTTTAGGTCTGAATTTTGTCCCCCTTCTCTTCCCTATGCCTCTGGCTTATACACTCCTTTCCCAAGCGGCTTATTCTTTCCATTTTGCCCGGATTCGAGTTTATCGGGAAACTTCCTTTTTTTTCTCCATCCTTCCTTTCTTCCCGCGGAAATCTTCTATTTATCTTCAAACTTGCCTTTTATTTCCCTTTTGCGACTAAACCGTCAAAACTTTATCGGATCTTCGGGCTGATTTCGTTAATATCGCGATATGGGTTTTTATCGTGTTTTAGGAACTTTCGGGCCGTTTTATGATAAAAACCGTTTTACGACTTTAACGAGACCGTTTCCTGATCTGATGCCGTTTTTTACGATCTTCTCGAAGTTTTTTTATTAAAAACGCGTTTTTATAATATTAACGAAAAATCTCGGATAAATCGTATAGTTTAGGAGATGTTCGGTGTCTTGCTTAACTGTTACCGTTTTATACGATTTCTTTGAGTTCTTTTCGGGAAAACGGAGTTTTACGGTTTTTATCACAAAACTCGAACGATAAGTCGGTTCGAGACAAAACGAGAGACATTTCGGCCGTGGTTCAGAATGTGACCATGTCGGAGGGCGTAAGTTTCGAATCGGGGTTACGGGAGATCGAGGCTCAGGATGATCGGTCCAGCGTACGGAGAATCGAGTCGGTCCGGTCTAGCTGTCCGAGGAGCTTCTAGT